GGAGTTCTTATAATAGGGAGACTATATGATATTTACACATGTGTGTCTGGTTTATTTCACTTATGAGTATATGTTCAAGTGGCATCCAATTCAATATAAAGGCTTGCAGTTTATCAATCTTAATAGCTGAATAATACTCCATTGTGTAAAAATACCACATCTTTCTCAACCATTCCTCAGGTGATGGACATCTTGGCTGTTTCCAAGATTTGGCTATCACAAATTGTTCTGCTATAAACATAGGCACACATATATCACTATGATATGATGTTTTCAGATCCTTTGGGAAAATCCCCAGGAGAGGAATAGCTGGTTTAAAGGGGATTTCCAGACCAACTTTTCTAAGTAGTGAAAAGGCAACCGACAAATTTTGAAAAAATCATAACAAATAAGTACTCAGACAAAGTCTGCTCTCTAGAATCTATAAAGAACTAAAGTACACTAGGGCCCCAAAATTTAAAGACCCAATTCAGAAATGGGCATCCAAGATGAACACACGCTTCTCAGAGGAAGAAATTAAAGAAGCGAATAAATATATGAAAAAATGCTCCACATCACTAGCCATTCATGAAATGCAAATTAAAACCGCATTGAGATATCATCTCACCCCAGAAAGAATGGCTATCATAAAGAAATCACCCAACAATAAATGTTGGAAAGGCTGTGGGGAAAAAGGAACCCTTCTCCACTGCTGGTGGGTGTGTAGACTGGTGCAACCGTTATGGAAATCAGTATGGAGACTCCTTAGTCTTTTCAATTATGGAAGAGAAGATGTTTCAAAGTTCCTGTGTTTAATGACAGTAATTTATGATTTATCTGTATGTGTATATGTATACTCGTATATGGACACAAAAGTGTATGATATGTATTTATGAATATAAATGTATAATACTTGTCACCCATATTTACATGTAGATGCATGAAAATCATTGTATGAGGTATTTGTGAGAGCAGCCTAGGCTTGTAACTTACCTCAGTACATTCACAACCATAAAAATTGTCCTAGTACGATACCTTATATGCCCATATTTCAATATTATCTTTTTAGACATATGGATACTGAAGGAAAGAGAATTCAGTTTCAGTTCAATTTCTAAATATACTTTAGGATAGAATCCCTATACCAAGTGTAAGGGATTCATCAAATAATGTAAGAGAATTGTTTAATTTGTAAATGAATTAATTAAGCTATATTAGGGGAAACAATTTCTTCAGTAATACTTAGAAATATAATCTATGAAATTTCTCAATTTACATGTAAATATTCATCAAGACATATAGGGAAATTTAAATTATTGTTTTCACAGATGAAAGAATATATATAATAAAATTCTAAAAATGTATATAAATCCTTAAAGCTGTCTTCATAGTTATGCTTTATTAATGTATGTGTTCCTAAATGTGCTCTGTACATGGGATTTACAGACCTTTCTAATGAAAACTATAATGTCCCCTGGATCAAAATAATTTGAATCTGACAGAACATTTTATATCTCTACTTCAACATTGTATTATGGAAGATGACTTTCTCTAATGTTATATTCTTTTTTTAATGGTATATTCTTAAAAACATACCATCAAAAACATAGGAATTTACAAATTCCCAATACCAAATGAAAAGACAACTTACCTAATACTTCACTGTATAGCTGATTCCAGTTCTTCTCAATAAATCCTTGAAACCAAAAGTCAAAATAAAGCACATACATCATATTTTTCACCCTCTGCATAAATGTCATTTGATCACTTAACTCTGATAGAGCAACAGGCACATAGGAAGGAGGAACTGAAAGTGCTCCAATGTACTTTTCATATGTGTATCCAGGAAAGAGTCGGTGGGTGTACACAAAAGGGACATTCAGAATCTCTGCAATCACCTCACTCCCAGGCATGAAGGAATCTGCCAGAATAACATCAAACCTTGATTTTTGTAGTTTTGATATAAGTTCCTTGTTCAGAACTATATCTTTACATAGTGATCTCATGAACTCAGTTTCTTTCCACATAAGATCTTGCAGTGCTGAAAAATACCTCCAAGATGATTCTTTTGGTAGATCATAGATAGCTTTTTCAAGTGTTTCTGTGAAAATATGATCCCAGTCACTTTGAGTTACTGATGTAGGATAATCTTCAAATTTAATAGACGATCCCTTCTCCACATTAATTGACATAGAAATTGAAGACCTCAAAACAATCACCTCATGACCATTTTGGACAAGTACATCCAGTATTGTTTTCATATTGATCCAATGACTATATTCCATTGGCCACACCAGCACCTTCCCACAGCTCCCCAAACCAAAGTAACTATTCAGCTGAAGCAGCAACAGAACTGCAGTTAGTTTCATAGTCATCATGGCAAAAACAGCCTTCCCTTTCAAATCCTATTCCCACTGGGTTTGCTTCTTGTAAAGTAAAAAATTGCCACATAGTTAATATATAACCTTTATTTGCTAAAGTAAATACATAAGGAACAGTCAATATCTGGTTGTTAGTTCAAAGATCAAAATTACAAGACCCTTATGTTTACGTGAAGATGTGTAATGGCTTTTGCAAGATTAGAATTATTTTCCTATAGTCAGAGATTTTTGACATTACATCTGCTGTGCCACTGTCCTATAATTGAGTTTAGGAAGTGCCAAGATTTGTGTCAAGTTGAAAGGAAAAGAAAAAAAAATCCAGAATCAATGTACATAGGTGCTTGACACGGAATCGGAAATATTCGTAATATAGGTGAGTCATCATTTCTTTTCATAGGAGCATTCCATAAATGTTTTGTACAAAAGTGGTTCATATATCAATGACAAATCATACACTTTATCAATATTGAAGACTTATTTGAGAAATTTAAAATCTGCAGTTTTTGAAGTTCTCCAGTATAATATTATTTAAAATGAGTAATCCTCCCAGAAATGAACTTTATGCTGTAATTATCCAATGTACCTCAGATTTGTAGAACCACTAAATTGCCTCTTCCCTTCAGGGTTTCATTATGAATATTTTAAATAAATCATATCACACAACATATAGTTCTCTATGATTATCCTCCATGCTTATGTACTGTTTAAAGCCTTATCCATCTAAAAGCATGTTATCAATACTATATTCCTTGTAATTACTAAATCTTATTTTATTGTGTATATGGCATATTTGTTGATTTTTTTTATTAAAAGCAAAATATTCTGGGTTGTAGCCATGCTCTATGGAGTTAGCAATATCTAGTTGTGATCTGCACTTAGAATCCCATGTAATGATGAGAGACCTAATGGTGTTGCATAATCTTTCATATGCCTGCTGGACATTTTCATATCTTTACATACATGTGTATCTAGTATGGTTCTTCAGCCACCACATATTCCTTTGTGTTGTTTAGTTAGGTTTCTGTGTATGCTGTGTTTAGGTCTCTTGTCAGATTTATCATTTTCACATACATTTAATTTTGTAGCATGTCTTTTGAGTTCTCTTGGAGGACTCATTTTATGCTGAAAAATTTTAATTTGGATGAAGTCCCTTTCTTCAATTTTAGTTTCTTTGCTTGTAATTTGTGGTACTTGCATATATCAATTTCTTATCTCTCATTGCTGGGAAAAATACCCAACATCCAAAGTTAAGGAAAGAAATAATTATTTAGCTCATAGTTAGTGGAAGTTTTAGTACATACTGAGCTGGCTCCAGGGCAGAGTGTCAAATGGCAGAGTGCAGCCACTCATAGCAGCAGAAAATAGCAAAGTGTAAAGGGAGGAGCTGTGGTTTACATGGCTAGCAAGTCTCTCTCCTTTCCTAATATTGTATTCAGGCTATCAGCCCCAGGAAGAGTGCAGCACTCACACCCATAATCCCAGCATTGGATCTTGAAATAATCACAAATTCTAGAAGCCTGCCCAAACACTGCGTGAGGTTTTGAGAGGACAGTGAGACCCAAACCATAATAGAGAAGGAATGAATGAAAAATTCAAGGTTACATATATTTCCCAAATGGCTTCCTAATGCATATTTACTTTTGCTTATTATTTTGTTTTAGATAGTGTCTCATTCTGGTGCCAAGGCTTTGGCTTCAGTTGAATTTCCTGCCACAGCATCTTGAAAAGCTGGATCACAGTTGTGAGCCACCACTCATATGTCTTGTAATTGTTACCTTCGTGTTTTTGATACATCTTGAATTAATATTTTCATGTATCATAAGGTAAATATTTTATTTTCTAAAGTTTTCATGTGACTATTGCATTTTCCCGGCAGAAGAAAATGAGAGACTATTGCTTTCTAATTGCTTGTTTTGTAATCCTCAGGAAAAAACAATTAGCAAAGTTATAATGATATATGTAGGCTTTTATGATCTATTCTTTTCATATATTGTCATACATTCCTGCACAACACAGTCTTCATCATTGCGCGTGTGTTATTAGCTTTGAAATCAGAGTGTAAGTCTTCCAATTTGGTCTTCTTCATCAAGATTTATGAAAGATATTATTCTGTCTTCAATATATATATTTGTTATTTTTCTACAAATGTCTGCTACCTACATGAGTAAGTTTCTGGATTTTCAATAAACTTCTAGCCAGATTTCATGCTAGTAGCATGCCACTTTGGTTGATATTGCATTGTAGAATATAATGGAGAGAGATATTTGGGTTTCTCAAGCATTGTGTTTTCCTCAGAATTTCTCTGATTATGAGGGTCTTTGCGGACCCATGTGACATTTATTTCCTTTTTCTTTATACAAAGAATGTCACGAGTAGCTTCACAGATTTCATTAAATTGTAGATGGCTTCCACTGGTGACTGTGTTTTCACTTGATGTAACCTGTAATCATTTTTAGATACATGCAAATATCTTCTCAGGATATGCAAATTATAATATTTGATGATATGCAAATCAAAAACAGCTGGATATTTTCTAAAAACATTCATAGCAACATATAAAAGTGCATATAGCAATAAAAATTAAAATTATCTTTTTTTTTTACACAGAAGAGTGTGTATATACTAAAAACATACACAAAAAATGATAAACTTTAAGCAAAAAACAATTATCAAATTCAGGTTCTTGAAGTAATTATTCTCATCAATGAAAGAGAAGAAAAGAAAAAATATTTAACAAAAATGTTTATTGAACACTAAGCAAATTGTCAAAAGAGCTATATTACCATCTGTGGCTTAAAAGTAGCACAAAAAAGTAATATCACGTCATCAATTTGATTAAAAGTTGCTACCTATTAAATTCCTCAACTATTGCTTGTATGATAATACAGAATTGTGCCAGCTTAAGATTTTCTGAAAGTAAATTCAGAAATGCCATAAACCAGAGATGAACTTTAATGTGTAGACCAGATGAAAACACCGTCTTATCCTTTAGGTACCTCCTTTGGTTTGCGTAGTTTCTGGAGATATATAAAGAAATGATTCACATTGAGCTTACATGTAACAACGATGCATTGATTTTCAAATTTACTAGGAATTTTTACTGGATTTTGAAATTATGAGTTGTATGTTGAGTATTCTGTAGACTTGGTGCAATATAACATGTAGGCCAAAGGAAGCCTTGTGTATATCAGTTCTTCTAATGATTTTTCATTATACTGTGTCATTTATTGAGCATGAATAAGAGTAAAATGATCAGAGGTCTTTCCCAAACAGAATATGAAGAGGATCCACCTACATTGTGTAATTTCAAATTCACATGCAAGCTCCTATGAAAATGCAGGCTTCCCACAAACTATAAATGTTTACTATCTGTAATACTTCTTCCATTTTTTCTGATTGTTTAAGGACCATACAATGCTTTATCACATTATTAACTTACATATTTATACAATTTCTTTTCAACGATAATTCTTTGATTCAGATCATGGTAATTAAAGCATGAAGGTGTTTCCATCATTCACATAAATGTCCTATATGAACTTTTTCATGTAATGGATATGTTTGGAAAAATAAAATTTTTCTCATATTACTTATTTATGTTCAGATACTTTTAATTGTGATTTTTTTCATATATAAGATTATACATGAGTTCACCAAAGGCTTCTTCATACTGCTTTAAACTGTAGGCATGTCTACTTCTACGAGGTATGCTAATAGTATTTTGATCAGGATTGCATTATATCTGTATGCCAATTTTGGGAGTATATTCACTATGTTGTTTTTCTTATCCATGAGCAAGGGAAATATTTCCATTTTCTCATATTCTCTTCAAACTTCTATCAAAGTACTGTAATATTTAACATACAGAACTTTCACTTTCTTTAATAGCTTATTTCCTACGTATTTTATTTTATGGATGGCATTATAAAGGGTGTATTTTCCATAATCGCTCTCTCAGTGAATTTGTTAAGCTACAGAAATATTACTGATTTTTTAAATCATTTTTTTAATAAAGAAATAGCACTGAGACAGTATCAAAACCGATTAATAGGATAGTTTCAAAGACTAATACATTACACAACTTTGTCTTTATACTAGTTATTCATAGTACAAGATGTAAAATATTATATGCTGTCCAAGCACTCAGTACAAATTTTGCTTCTCATTGGATTAAGAAAGTAGGTGTATGTCTCTCCTATTTTGTATATACAGATACAACATGGTCCTTAATTTATATTCCCTTTTTTATTTAGTTTTGCCAGTCATAGGTATCCCATTGCCATTTAAACATTGTAGGTGCATGAATTCACTGAAATATTCCAATATAATCCAGTAGCACATAATATTAGATGTTTACCCATAGGACTGGCAAGGTCAGAAGTTGTTGACTTGAGCCTTTCACAGCTCAGCATATTAATATGGCTTTACTTTTTATATTTTATTTTTAAACTTTTCTACTGGATGGTTAAGAACAAGATAAAGTAAGACCTAGACAACAAGAAAAGTAACTATAATATCTGGCAAGGTATGTCAAACCCCCTCAGGAATTACCCTGGAATTCTGTAAGGCAGTTTGTAGATCATTTGTCAGTATCAGTGATGTGGATGAGTTATGGCCATTGCTCAACCAATTTTCTGTGGTTGACTGAGAGAATGTTTTCTCTCCATGAGACTCTACTTAGGCACAGTCTACATAGTGGATCACTTTCCTCTGTGCCCCTATAATTTCCTTTATCAGAAAATTTCAGACATAACCTAATTGCAGCACGTTGCAGTACAAGTCCTCTTATGTCTAGAGTACTCACAGACCTTGAGAGACTAGGACCAAAATGTTGGCTGTCCTTGAAGCCCTTCTTTTTCTCTAATTTTTGGTCTGTTAATAAGTTGTCAACACTCCAGAAGAATAGCTTAATGAAAATATTTCTCTATAACGTAAGCAGCTGAGCTTAATCTTACTATCGGTCTGAATATCAAATGTCTTAGGCATAACTTCGAAAGGTATTTTCCATCATGTA